GGGGAGGCTCAGGCAGTCACACGGAGCGGGGGACGCAGGGTGGTCCCTGGGGAGGGCCCGGGTATGTCCCCGCCGTGCTCAGGCTGTCTCTGCTGCTCTTTGGCCCTGCAGGTTTCCAGCCGATGGGTTCCTGCTTCTGGCCCTGCTGCTGTACGCACCCGTGGGCCTCTGCCTGCTCGTCCTGCGCCTCTTCATTGGCGTACACGTCTTTCTGGTCAGCTGCGCCCTGCCTGACAGCGTGCTGCGACGGTGCGTGAGCCCGGCCCTGCCCCGGGTGTGGAGCTGCTGCTGTTGCCTGGGGTGGGGATGTGGTGTGCAGACACTGCTGTGGGGTAGTGTGGGGTGGGAGGGCTGCGCTCGCCCGTGTGGGGTCCTTAGCCGCGGAGGCTTGGTGCATGCAGAGGTTTACAGGCAGCTGTGCTTTCGGGACTCTTTGTCCCCAGGATCCACGAAGGTGCCTTCTCTGCCAAGACCAATGCTGGCAGCTACATCTTCAGTGCTCGAGGACTGGTCTGAAACACTTGGATCAGCTGGGCGCCCTGCTAAGAAATTCCATGTGTGGCTCGCTGCCCCATATTTCATGCTGCAGCTCCAGCTCTGCAGGCAGCCTTCAGCCCCAGCTGCAGCCCCCCAACAATTCCTGTCCCAGGCATCTGTCATATCACTTCCATTTTGTACCAGTGTCCTTTTGCAAGTCACATGAACTCCCAGGTCTCTGTTCTGTTTGTTAGAGGTGTAAGCCAGCGATGGCTCAAAGTGCAGGACTTGAGGAAACCACTTTCCTCCCCACCCAGGTTTATTGTGCGTGTGATGTGCTCAGTGCTGGGCTTATTTGTGCGGCAAAGTGAGCCCCAGCTTCGTGATGTCAGTGTGAGGGTCTACATCGCCAACCACGTGACACAATTCGATCACAACGTCATCAACCTTCTGACCTCATGTAATACGGTGAGTAACTTGGAGCCGGCTCCAAATGTGCCTGCGAGTGAGTTGGTTGGTTCTATATCCTGAACGGCAGTAGGCTTAACCCTTACCTGGAGAAGCATAACTCGCGGAAGTAGTGTATCCCTTGCCAAGAATGTCAGGACCTCCTAGAGAGGACATGGGGAAACACAGTTGTTGCGTGGGCCAGGAGGGGAGTTCGTTTCTTGAGCAGACAGGGTACAATCTGAACTGAAGATTAGGAGTCGAATTCGTAGGGAACTGGGGCCAGAGCAGTCACTGAAGCCTGGCAGTGATGTGTTCTCTGCTACTGGTGCTTTTAGCAGGCAGGTGGCTCCCTCAGGCCCCAGAGGCATTTTTGCTAATAAGCAAGAACTTTGTCTCCCAGCATCGTCTGGGAAGGTGAGCCTTCAGGGGAGGACAGGATGGCATTTCTTCTTTACTCTTGCTTTTCCTTGCAGCCTGCATTGAATGGTGCCCCTGGCTTCATCTGCTGGTCACGGGGATTCATGGAGCTGGGCGTAACGGGAAGCCGAGCAGAGCTGGTGGATTCCCTGAAGGTGTATTCGTCCCACAGAGGAAACCCGCCGCTGCTGCTGTTCCCGGAGGAGGCTGCCACCAATGGCAGGGCTGGCTTGCTCCGGTTCAGGTACTCGGGACAGGTATTCCTGTAGCGGGGCTGTCGCCACTTTGTTTTAGCTTTTGGGTCATTCAGTGCTGACTTCTTCCTTTTCAGCTCTTGGCCGTTCTCAGTTGTGGATGTGGTGCAGCCCGTTGCCCTACAAGTTCAGAGGCCTTTGATCACTGTGGTGAGTCAGGGACGTGGGGCGAGGAGGAGTTGTGGAGGCGTGTGCTGTGTCAGGGTCTTGGCAATGGCGTTGATTCTGCTTCTGCTTTGAAGCCTGTGGGTAGCGTAGCCTGGCCGCGTGTTCTGTCACCCCAAGGACTTGCTGCTCAGTACTGACACTGTGTTTCAAGCCCCTTTCCCGGGGAACTTCTGCTAAGCCAATACTTTTTCAGCTACACTGGCAATTTTGATAAATGTTTTAGTGGCTCAGCTGTCTAACAGTGTGCCATGAGGCTTACATGATGCTATCATCGCTGTGTCTCGTCTCCTTTTTGTGAGCTCCCTTCTTCTGAAGTGCTGTGAAGGAATAGCTCCAGTCGCCTTGGAGAGCGACTGCTGCGCCAAAGGTTGTGCAAGGCTCCCTGGAGTGGGTTCTGAACTCTTGCCTCCCAAATGCAGATGTGTGACATGGTGCAACGTTAGCTTCAGAAGGGTGGCAAAGTTTATGATGGTAATACTAGCACTGCTAACTAGATTCCAATAAAACCATTCTCAGCTTATTTACAGAGCAAGATTTTGTTGGATTTCTTATTTCTTGCTATGGTTTATGGGTCTGCTTGGTTAAAAGATACGTTTTGTATTTATCTGGCATTTTAGTTGATTCTTCATCGTCTGTCTTTTTAAGATAGTAGGGCAGAATGGATGGATTTAAAGCCACTTACTAGCAGGTCACAAAACATTGCTGCCCATACTAAAACACCAGTATGCAGATATTTTTAAGGTGAGATTCTGTTAGGGATTATTTCTTTGCCTGGTGCTATTTAGTGCTTTTCTCAGCACTGCAGATGACAATATTGAGATCCCTGCTGGTAAAATTTGGGTTAGTGAATAGTGAAGCAGCTCGATTATTGATTGTGATCTAGTGAACTGGTGATAGCTGCCAGTGAACAGCGGTTACCTGTAAGTCTAATGTGGTTATGGGTGCGTAGCAAGAGGAGTATCTGGTAGAGTGACAAACATGGTGTTAGCTGCATGTGTGCAGTGGTGAAAACCGCTAAAATACTAAGCAAAGCTTTGGTAACCCCGCTGCCAAGAAACTGGGGAAGTAGTAGAGTGCAAGGACTCCGTAAGCGTGATGCAGAATCCAAAGAGCAACACTTCAAGACACTCAGCTTAGTCAGCTTGTCAGAGGAAAGGCAGACAGATTGTTGTGGAAAGCTGCTTGCGTGTTGGAGAAGAGGCTTAAGAGTGGAGAATTCTTTTTTTTTTTCCTGACAAAGCACACAGCAACAGTCTTTGCAGGTTCTGAGAGTAAATGTTGGTACTGCACAAGTTAGTTTTGGATTAAGATGCAGTTTTCTAACAATGAGAATATTTTTGAATGAGTACTCCAGAGAAGTGGGAGAGCTGTCCCATTCTGGACTGTTTATAATGAATAGCTTACCTTTTCATAGTTTTGGCTCCTCTGAGAAGTTCTGTGAGATGTGACAAGTATATTTATCTGTGCATACTTTCCTTC